CATTAATGTTCATCCAGAAATGACTTTGGAGAGGGGGGCGCCATAGCTCCCGAGCAAAGCATTATCATCTATAAGATAACAAAAATATAATTTTTCATATCCTACAGCATTAATGTTCATCAAGAAATGACTTCGGAGAGGGGTGGCGCCATAGCTCCTGAGCAAGAGTTACACGAACAAAAAGCCACAACCGCTAATGTCGTGAACCGAACCCGATCCAAGTGAAGTCCCTGCTGAGGAGTTGGTCGGTCCTCTTGAGTCGGTCCTCTTGAGCCGCTCCTCGTTATCCTATTATTATAGGTTTATTCTTGTGAGTCTAGAGTAAATTTTTTTGTGAGCTTTGTTTAGGACAGCCACCTGCATCTGTTTCTTCCTTCGAGGAAGGTATCTGAGGGTTTAGATGGTGCTCCATCAATAACTCTCTCCCGAGGTGGCTATTATCTTCCCCATCTCCTTCCACATCCTCCCCATGTCACTCCCTAAAGCCCTCCATTTCTACAGCCGCCCCCGAACAACCGCCATCGTTGTTTTCACAGCAACTTTTCCAATTTCAGACACCTGTCCTCACTGCCCCCACCACAAACAACCATCTTCTTGCTTTCTTGCAGTCCCTGACATCGCTGTCGCTGCCACCGTCGTTCGCCCTTGCTACCAAAGATCCGAATAGCCATTCCCGACTGTTTCCTTGCCGCTCCAACCATCCAGACCCCTTTTTCCTACAGTCATGCGGTTGTTCCAGCCACCAATACATCCCCTCGGCGATCGTACCGTTGTCCCAACCACTATTCCTTCCCTTCCCATGTGTTGCAGTCTAAAGAACCTGTCCCCTACCCCTCACACTTGCAACCATCTTCCAAGACAGTTTTTCCATATTGTTACCTTTTGCATGCTTGTCGTCTGGAACCTGGGGAACCGCTACCTCATTTTCTGCTGACCGACCATATCGTTCACCACCCCCGAAATCCACACTAATTTGAGTTGGATTGTTGAGTATGCTGTTATTTTCCTTTCAAGTGTGTCATTTGTAATCATCTATTATCTTTTAGTAATAAAATTCGTTTTTCCTAATGCGATTTATGTTAACTCCGATATCATTTGGTATTAGAGCTAATCCAACCCTAGTTATATCGGTTTCTAGCATCTGCCATACACAAACTTATCTCACCCTCCCCAAAAAAAAAATTCCTCTCATTTTCTATCAAAGCATCCTTACATCTTACATCACCCCTACCTACACCCCAAATCCTAACTATGCCACCGTCAAGATAATTGTCAGACGCCAATCAAAAGTTTACCATGGAATACATACAACGGTAATTACGCTGAGCGCTACAACGACTCGATAAAATAATAAAAAGGAGATCATTCGTCATTCATACTCTATTGGATTACAGAGATGAAGTGTATGTCAGAGGGTACAAAATGAAGTGTATGTCAGAGGATACAGAAGGTGAAGAATGAATTGTCTGTTAGAGGATACAGAAGGTGAAGTGTCTGTTAGAGATTTCAGAGATGAAAAGCCCCTACCCCGAAGAATTGACCTAAAATATCTAGTCCGCCAGGATTTTGATGTAACAACGTATTTGCCACATTTTGACGGTCACTTGGATTCGAACAAGTTCTTCGAGTGTTTTCATACCGTAGAACTTTTCTTTAAGTATCAGGACAACCCACCAGACGAAAGAGTGAAACTAGCACAACAAAGTTAAAGAAGAGTGTATTTTTTGGTAGAAAAATATGAAACACCTACGCCAACATGAGGGAAAATATAAGATCACAGCTTAGTCCCAGATGAAACGGGAGATGCAACACCAGTATCTACCAGTTCATTTTGAATAGGATGTGCATACCCTAGTTTCAAAAGTGGAGAGACAACATTATTGAATGACCATTACATCTTACAGACTGAGTTCAACCCAGGATTACAACAAAAGTACACTAAGGCAAACATCCAAACCAGCCCTGACTGAGGCACAACCGATATGCATTCCCAAATCTCTCAGCCATAAACTGTTTCAAGTGTCATGGATTTAGGCATACTGAATCAGATTGCACAACTAGGATAATGATCTCTTTCATAGATCAGGGATAAGATGAAAAAATAAATAGTGATTCATGAGATGTTGAAACTTGCAGAGAGGATTCTCAACTTCTGGTTGACAAGGAAGAGATACCATCGATTCCAGTTGAACTCTGGAGAGAGATTGAAGCCGAGTTGACAGTAGCTATTCTAGATGTTAGTAAGTTTGAGGTAATGAACGTTCAAGCAGAGTGAGGTTGTGGTGCCTCAAGCTACCTTTTTGCAGGTATTGAGAAGAGCATCAATAGAACTGACATTGAATGCCCAAATGACCATGAGTTTGAGAAGCATTTACCAGATACAGGGCAACATTAGGTAAGAGAATTGCAAAATTTTCAAACATATAGCATACCACCTGAGTTCACCCTAGCAAGGAAAATTCAACTTGTTAGAGATGAGAAGATTTTGAGTAGGTTCTGGAAGACAATATAGAGTCATTTTAATATGGGTATTAAAATCAATTCAGCGTGAACCCCTAAGTGAGAATCAAATAGAATGAATGAACCATAGCTTTGGAAACTGCACTACGAGTTTGGTGGAAAACAATTCTAAGATAGGATCTAGGGTCCACCAGAGAAAGAGAACTCTTGAGTGATTGCTAGTGAGAGTTGCCCAACATACCATAGATTTCGTCCCAGAGTTGAATCTTTCTCACACATTTATTTACCAGATACACATGGACGAGTTTGAGTGGAAGAAGCTAATAACATATTTAATGCCTCGAGGCTTAGTTCGTAAGGATTCCTATCCACATGCATTCACAGCTCAGGATGTGCCAAAAGAGCATACATACTTAGTTTAGCAGGATATGCTTTAGAATAATGTCGCCTACAATATTGATTTACCAGGGGATTACAATATTTCTGCTACCTCCAACATGGCAAACTTAACTCTATACTACGAGGACACAGAAGCTTCGACGAATGAGGTCGAAGCCCCCCTAACACTGAGAGACTAACACAGAAGCAGAGGGCATTGTAACTCCCGAGCAGGAGTTACGAAAACAAAAAGATATGACCGATAATGCCCTGGAACGAACCCGGACCAAGTGGGGTCCTTATTGAGGGATCGACCAACACTCTTGGGCAACTCATAGTTCTCCTATTATAATTTATTTGTTTTGGTACGAGTCTAGAGCTAATATTTTCATGATTTTTTTTTTTAATTCAACCATTGGCACCCGTCATTTGAAGGCTATATCAGAAGGTTTGGGCAGTCTTTCGGCTTATATCTCCCTCTCGATGTGATGATTATTTTTCCTATATCCTTCCACATCCTCTCGATTGAGTCTAGAGCTAATATTTTCATGATTTTTTTTTTAATTCAACCATCGGCGCCCGTCATTTGAGGGCTATATCAGAAGGTTTGGGCAGTCTTTCAGCTTATATCTCCCTCTCGATGTGATAACTACTTTTCCTATATCCTTCCACATCCTCTCGATGTCGCTTTCGACAGGCCTTCGTTGCTATAACCGCCACCAAACAACCTTTGTCTGTGTTTTCACTACAATTTCTCCAACTCCAGATTCATCCTAGTTGCCGCCACCCTGGACAACCATCCTCCTGATGTCCTGCAGTCCCCAACATCCCTTGTCACTGTCATTGTCATTTCCCCTTGCTGCAGACGACCCGAATAGTTGATCCCGACTGTTTTCCTGTTGTTCCAACCATCCAGACCCCTTTTCCCTGCAGCCTTGCAGCTGTTCCAACCACCACTACTGTCCCCTCCGCAACCTAACCATTCTCCCTGCCCGTTCTGGCCATTGTTCCTTCCCTTCCCAAGTGCTGCCGCCTAAAAAATCAGCACCCTACCCCTTTCAACTTGGTGTCATCATCACGGACAGCTGTCCCACATTATTATCCATTACATGCTTGTTTTCCAGAACCCGAGGAACCGATAACTTGTTGTTTTCTGTTGGCCAACCATCTCGTCCACCACCCCACCACCTCCTAACACCTAGCCAATCACCACCACCACCCTGACATCCAACGTAATTTGAGTTGGATTGTTGAGCCGGTAATTATTTTCCTTTTAAGTGTGTTAGTTGTAATCACCTATTGTCTTTTAGTAATAATATTCACTTTTCCTATTATTATTTGGCTTAACTTCGGTATCAGGAAAGCTTGCAAAAGATGAGATTTGATCAATTGCTAGGTTACCGACAAAGTGAAAAAAAAATAATGGGTAAAAATCACAAAATCAACGATGTAGGCTTAAGGCAGCAAGCATCCAATTTAATCCAAAACCTAGCATTTGCCAGAAATCACATGTCATGAATATAAACTTTTTTCATAAAGTACTTAGTTTTTCCATTTGTTCGTACAATGAAAAAACCAAGCATTTTCATTGGAGCACACCAGCATGTTCTCTAGAAATATTTTCCAATGCTCTTTAATTGATTCTAGTTTAGCGTAAGATGAGGCATTGTTTCATGTTCTTTGCTTTCATTAAAAAAAAAAATGAAATTGTTATACCAAAGACATAGGCAACAACCTCCACAACAAGCCTTGATCCGTGGTCAAAACAAAAATACACATTGAAACGGATTTGCTTATGTTTTAATTTTAAAACTAAATTCAAACTACAAATCTTGATCTTATAATCTCTCACAAATGCATAACTACGAATCACCTAAATTTCTGCTGTTTGAGCTATTATTATTGATGTGCTCGTTTTTTTTTTATGAACAACAAGTTCAAAACAATTGTCTCTCACAAGTACTATGCATTTTTATTGGCTAGCATAGTAAAAAAAATGAGGCTCAAATCTGAAACACAATATTATATAGATTCAATAACGACAACTTTACTTTCTGTAAATGAGATGAAAAAGTCTTTTTTAATTCATCATAATTATTAAAATAGAAAAGAAATTTTTTCCTTGAAGAGATAATTATAAAGCATTTTGCAAGAAGAAAAACCTCAAGAGATACAAATCTCAGATTCAAAAATCTCGCTGTAATATCATCAGCAAACTCTGGATGTCTTTCCCTCCACTCCTCCAAAAGGTAACTGTCCGCCGAAAAGAAACACAATAAAAAAAAATTAATAATAATAAATAAACAAAAATACATGGGAGAACAAGAAATTAAGTTAGCCTACATGGATGCCTGTCATAATTACATGATGAACGCAGCATATCACCTTTCTTTCTTGAATAATTGTTTGCATAAGTCTGGACAATATGATAATTAATTATCATCATCACCATTTGACATACCCCCCAACTACTTGGGGTTGGCTTTAAAAATTCCGATTCTCCAATTGTCCCTATTAATTATGGCACAAGGTGCTAAATCTATTTTGCATAATTTGCATCCAAGTTATCCACCCTTTTTCTTCATAATACATGTACAATAATCTCATCTACCAAATTTATAAGTTCATATTTTACAATACATTAAACACCAAACTGCTTAAGTTTATTTTGCACAGTTATATAGAATAGATGCCACTTACACTATTCCTCTGACACAGTTATTTCTCAATTTATAATACATAATTTTTCAAAGAAATCATCTTTAGAAGTCTCATTATTGTGTCATGGTTTATCAAGCAAATAGGGTTTATACATAATTTGAAAAAAAAACCAAAAAATTGAACAAAGCTGAGCCATAACAATAAAATTAACATGTTATGATTTAGGTATTGAATTCTTTAAATTTTTTCACACATTCAATGATTAGACATTAGTGTCAAAATGTTTGTATCAGGAATATTGTTGTAAGGGTTCAAACTTTAAAGTGCATGTGAAGCACGGGTTAAAGGTGTCTTAGGTTTACATTTAAAGCACAGAGAATTGTTAAAGGTACCTTTGGATGAGATCTTTAAGACCACTATGACTTCCTTTAATGGAATCCATATGCAAAATGCAAGGAACCTTCGGAGAGTTCTTTAGATCATTATCTGGAAAAGCATAATCATATAAGAACATAATCAACAAATGAAACACTTGAATTGCAATTTTACAATATAATCCTTACCTACAAAAGTGATTATTTCACCAGGATGGCAAATAACAAGTAAACTCCAGTGAAGACTGTAATTTTCATCATAAACTCTCACTAAAAAAAAAATCATAAGCAAACAAAATCATAATGCATGCTTAATTAACGCCATACTTGAAGTTAACTGGAATAAATATGTAATCCTTTTCAAATATATTGAATTTGCGTGTCCATTTCCGAACCCGTTGAAATGCTGCCCTCCCATGTGAAATACTTCCTGGATCTTTGTCAAGATCAGCTAGCTTACGAAAGAAGAAACTGTTGAAAAAGTGGAACCTTCTCTTCTCATTAGGCTGAACCTTTTTCTGTAGGTACCTGTAAGAGAACATTATCAACAAGTGAAGCTAATAAGGCTCCTGACATATAATTCACAAAAGAGTGAATACACAGAAAAATATTCTGAACTGAGAAAAAATTCAAATTCCAAATTTATTATTGCATCATAATGGCTCCCTTTCTTAGCAAAACAATCCAATTTCAAATAATAAATCAAAGAGAAAAAAAATTATATAACTTTTTCAAAATGTTCTGATGATGCATTGCATAAACTTATTGGCTTGATTGCACAAACTGTTCACAATCTTGTCAACATCATAGGATAAAAACAAGACTTCACAATTCAATTTACAATAGTGTTATTTACAAAATATAAGCTCCCAAAGATGCAAATGATGATATATTGGAGATAAAAAAGGAACAAAAACCATAAAATTCTTTGTAAAAAATAGTATTTTACATAAATTTATGACTCTAAGTTCATATGGACTTTCTAATTGGTTTGTACCATGTCTGCAGCTGTGTTGCCCAGATCGTGAAGTATGCTTTCTCAAGCATGATATGTATTTAAACCATAAAAGATCATCTTCCAAGAATAAATCTCGACAGTCAAAACTGCATTACTAAGAAAATACGGTTCCAGTTGCAGAGAACATAATTGCCTTGTTTACGTTCTCATGAGCAGCAAGACAAGGCTTAAACGAGTCATCCGTCAATTTTGACAGAGGCCCAAATTCCTTAAATAAGATTTATAAATAATCAAATATTACATTTAAGAAATTTTTATTAATATTCTAAACAAATCAAGCATTACTTGAGATTAAATATTTAAAAAAACTCTTGAGTCAACTAAAATCTACATGGGGCATATGTTAGTAATGTTCTTAATTTAAGTTTCTTTCTATTAAACAGTAGTCATGTCCAAATACTACTCATCAAAAGGCCATCATC